TTTAAATATGTTCCATTTATTGAATCGAGAATTGACGGCCAACTCATCATTTTTAAAAGGTTCGGACGAGAATGTGTCCGGGAGTTCGGAGTAGTGTTCCTGTCAGGACCTCCAAAAACGGACCTCCGTACGGACCTCGACGTTTGGGCCCCTTTCCGGTGGAATTTTTTGATAAAATTTTTTGAGCATGTTTTTTATCAAGTCTAGTTTACTCATACCAAATTTCAGCTAAAACTTCCATCGGGAAGGCAGTCAAATGATTTTTGGAATTTAACTGGGCACTTTATATATAAAGTGATTTCAGTCAAATGATTTCAGTCAATTGATTCCGTCAGGCTGAGGCCATCAGAGGCCCTTCCCGGTGGAATTTTTTGATAATTTTTTTTGAACATGTTCTTCATCAAGTCTAGTTTATCCATACCAAATTTCAGCTAACAATTCAATCGGCAAGGCAGTCAAAAAAATTCCCTACTAAAACTGCGCAGTTTATTTATTTATATATATATATATAAATATATATATATATATAGAGGAATGTTCATGTCAGGCCGGCCTGACGGGCTGCCCCGTCCGGCCGAGCCCGTTTGGGCACCTTCCCGGTGGAATTTTTTGATGAAATTTTTTGAGCATGTTCCTCGTCAAGTCTAGTTTGTCCATACCAAATTTCAGCTCAAAATTCGATCGGGAAGGTCGTCAAATGATTTTTGCAAGTTAACTGGTCCGAAATATGTATTTTCCAGACCAGTTAACTTGCAAAAATCATTTGACGACCTTCCCGATTGAATTTTGAGCTGAAATTTGGTATGGACAAACTAGACTTGACGAGGAACATGCTCAAAAAATTTCATCAAAAAATTCCACCGGGAAGGTGCCCAAACGGGCTCGGCCGGACGGGGCAGCCCGTCAGGCCGGCCTGACATGAAGAGCACTCCTATATATATATATATATATATATATATATATATATATATATATATATATATATATATATATATATATATAATGCACAGTTTTAGTAGGGAATTTTTTTGACTACTTTCCCGATTGAATTTTTAGCTGAAATTTGATATGGATAAACTAGACTTGATGAGAAACATGCTCAAAAAATTTCATCAAAAAATTCTACCGGGAAGGGCCTCTGATGGCCTCGGCTTGACGGCGGTTTCCGTCAGGCCGGCCTGACAGGATCCGGACTCTCTCTCTCTCTCTCTCTCTCTCTCTCTCTCTCTCTCTCTCTCTATATATATATATATATATATATATATATAGGGAGCGGTTCTAATGAGAACACCTCTTATTGTGAGAAGTGAAAACAAATCTTAACCATCCATCTAATTAAATGATCGGCCATTACATAATTGGTGTATACTACAAAGATGCACTTTCGCACATTGTACTATCTCTTAGAAACGGAAATAGGAGCGTATGAATAATTAAGGGTGAACAAGTAATTTACATTGCACATTCCTTTTATGAGGCATCACTTCCCTATCATGTTTTAATTTAATGTAGTAGTGGGAGAACCCATTTCCGAAAATGTAGGTTATAATAAGGAGTCAAATGATATAAATTATTTTTAGTTTAAAATTGATTTAACTTTTTAAATTATAATCAAATTTTATCAAAAATTATATCAAATTAAATAATTTTTTATTATCTTTCAAATGACACCAATATTGCATATATAATTATTTTTTAAAAAAATAAACACAATAGGTATACAATAAACCGCAACAACCATCTCCGGCCAGCTACCGCACACACAAGAACATATATTTAACACACAATCATCAATATTTAATGCACCTAGAAAGTAGTATCTCACACATAATTTGTATATAAAGCACCATAACAAGTATCTCAATCACAAAAAGCAATATCTAACGCACAACAATTAAAGAATAATACCTAATAACCCACAAGGATTTTATATAGTACACATGAACGACTATCTAAAGCACAATATGTATATACGTTAGAAAACTCATGTCTTGCACATAGTATGGACATAGAGAATCACAACAAGTATGCCATTCACAATAAATGATATCTAACACACAACTCCGGATATGGAATGCACATGAACTTATATCTGACGCACAATCCATTCATGTAATGCACATGAACTTGTATCTAACTCACATTTCGTATATAACATACAAACGAAAATATGTGTTAAAAAATAAAATTATGATATGGTGATTAACATTTAAGGAGATGATATTCTCTTTCCTTTTTTCATAAATTAAAAAGTGAGAAAAAGTTTTTGTAAAAAGCAAAATTAAAAATCAACATGCCGTGCAATTTGATCTTTCCATCCCTAAATATGTGGAACACATTAACTACAAGATCCGTTAATTAAACAGCCTCCAAAGAATAGTACGTAAATGCCTTCTTGTTCCATTTACTTCATCGAAGATCTACACATATTTTGAAGGGTGAGGATTTGTTCTCACTTCTCACATTAAGGGTGCTCTCATTTGAACCAAAATATATACATATATACACAAACGTCTGGACCGCGGCGTTTGGCCGCCTTCCTGGTGGCTTTTTTTGATGAAATGTTTATGACATGTTCTCCATCAAGTCTAGTTTATCCACAAACAAATTCAGCCAAAAACTCAATCGGGAAGGTAGTCAAATAATTTTTGCAAGTTAACTGGTCCGGAATATGTTTGACAACCTTCCCGATTGAGTTTTTGGCTGAATTGTTTTGTGGATAAACTAGACTTGATGAAGAACATGTCATAAAAATTTCATCAAAAAAAGCCACCGGGAAGGCGGCCAAACGCCGCGGTCCGGACGGCGGTTCCGGTCAGGAACTCCTGACCGGATCATTACTCACACACACACACACACACACACACACACACACAAGAATGATCAGGTCCGAACGTTCGGACAGGACCCTCCATCCGAACATCCTCGTTTGGGGTCTTTCCTGGTGAAATTTTTTGATGAAATTTTTTGAGCATGTTCCTAATCAAGTCTAGTTTGTGCATACCAAATTTCAGCTCCAAATTCAACCGGAAAGGCTTTCAAATCATTTTTTGAAGTTGACATCGTTTTTATATGTATATTTTGACGCAGTGAATTTCAAAAAATGATTTGAATGTCTTCCCGATCGAATTTTGAACTGAAATTTGGTATGAACAAACTAGACTTGATGAGGAACATGCTCAAAAGTTTTCATCAAAAAATTCCACCGGGAAGTGGCCCAAACGTCCATGTTCGAACGGTGCTCGGACGGGGAATGTTCAGACCTGAACATTCCTCTATATATTATATATATATATATATATATATATATATATATATATATATATATATATATATTCATTTTGTTTTCATTTTTCACATTTTTATAATTTTATGTCCGAGTTCTTATTTTTACACGTTTTTTTATTAATGTTTTTATATTTTAAGAATTTATTTTTGGTTTTCATTTTATTTGATTGTATATATATATTACTTTTTTGAATTTGAATTTTTCAAATTTATGTATTTATTAAAATTTCTTAGATTTTTAGTTTTAATATATTCCGGCTTTTTTAAAATTTACTCTTTTTCAAATTAATATGTATTTTTTTTCTTTAGTTTCTAATTATTTTTAAGACTATAATTATGCTTCCAATTATTTACATCCTTTTGATGTTTCTAATTTTTAGAGTTTGTGTGCAGGAATTCCACTGCTCATACGGAACTAGGATACGGAACTCCACCGCAAGCAGTGGATGCCGAACCAATGTCTATTTTTGAAAGAAAAAAATTGGTAGTCTACTTTTGAAAAATAAATTGGAGTGACAAAAGTGATATTTCTTTCACTTTTAAGTCTATTCTTGATAATTTCCCTTTTCCATTAGGCTCTAATTATATTATAACAATACCTTTTTGGCCCATTACTTTTCCTGAGCTCTATGCCTGCACTGCCTACACATGTCATGGGCCGGCTCTGAATTTAGACCTAGACTACGGATGTTTTTACTTGGATTGTAATTCGTCCCAGACCAGATTAGACCAGACCAGACTTGGATAGTTATAAAAATAAAAGGAGACTAGACATTACCAGACCCGTTCAGACCAGACCAACAAATTAAGTAAAAACATCCTACATATTTTCTCCTCCAATGTATGTAGTGTGTAAGTTATAAGATCCACTGCCATGTATATGTGTACATCCCAAAATGGAGCCTGTCTTCCGAAAAAAACAAGAGAAACAAAAGCATTGACAGTTTTCACATGGCAATTTTATTTTAATTAATACTACGGATATATTGGAATTCCTTCAAAAATATTCAAATGCTAATGTAATTTTTTCCTTATTTTGCTTTATTTCTATTGAACTTTCAATTTCATCAAATAATACACTGTCAACTTTATTTATATTTCAAACGAAGTAATTGGGAAGGTATTCCCCCGGCACCCCCACCTCGTGTGGTTTGAACTGGGAAAAAATGTCCAAAAACATAGCTAGTCATATTGAGTAAAATTCAATATGTTTTAGTCATATTCCGGTAAATTTCCTTACCATAAACACTTGTAAAATATATTTTTGTATTTTTCCTTTTTTATGAAACTATAATTACTCCTTATGTCCCTTAGAACTTTGTCAGTTTTTCGTTGTCCAACTAATTTTGTCATTTTCCCTTTAAGGAATTTGTGATTATATTCCAGACATCCAGTTAATTCTCTCTCCTCTTCACAAAGGCTCAATCAAACAATTTTTACTTTAATAATCTCCGTACCGGTCAAACTTGGTCAAATTTATGCGGAGTATATTTGAAAATTTTGATCCTGAATTGAAATCATGAATCTGCCCTAGATATGAACATATATGAGTAGTTGGCCACTTGACCGGCCTAGAATGAGTGATTAATGGAGATAAGCATTGAACTCTGTGGCATGTGAAACATCGTACAAGTTGACAGCTCACATTATTTGTCCTCACTCATTCATCAATTACTCTCCAGGGCCCAGAAAAGCGAATTATTGAGCACGTACGCGATACACCATGCAGACATGCAGTGTATAAATAGAGTACTTTCCTTAAGTGATCATGCATAATTCATCTCCATTAGCGAGCAGCTAGTAATCATAATAGTTCAGAGCAACTTTCCGGCGGCCGGCGATCAGCTAGCATGTCTGCTTCGAACGTGTTTGGGAAGGCAATCACGGTTCTCGATTACCCGGACAGGGAAACGAGAGCGAGTGCGGCCTACGCACTGATCAACGGCGACGACAAACACACGCAGGTGACCGATTACGTGAAGAATCAGAAACAGTCTTATGGGGACGGCATTGCGGTTTTAGCCACCATTTACAACGCCACCGGCGAGAACCTCTACTTCTCCACCTCCAAAGACTGGTATGGGAAGCTGTATACCGACGCCGGGGCCTCCTACCCGAAGATCATCCAGAATGGGCAGTGGGCGGGATTCTTGCACATCAAAAGCCCCGTCGTTGCTTCCGGCTCCGAAGCCGCCGTGGTTTACCGTGTCAAAGCCAATGAGGGTGCCGCCGGTGAGAATGCCGAGGTTGTGATTGCTTGGGATGATCCTTGGGCTCCTGGTTCCGATAATCAGGTATTTACCTACCCTTACTACCTTAGCTTCTTAATTTATGATATGTATACCTGTCTAGCCTGTCCAAGTGTGGTTTGAATGCTTGTTTAGCACTTATGATTAAGAGTAATTTGTTTAGGATTTTGATAAAGTATATGAGTTCAGATTCATGGCCCACATACTCTTGGACACACAATAGCCCAAGCCCATGACACCACTTGGTCCTCTCAACCAAATCCTGTACAAGTACAGTCACTACTCGTACTAGCTTTAGTCACCTCGGCCATGTCACCTCGGCCATGTCATCTCGACCAGGCGTGTATAAGGTGCACTTGCACCTCGGCCAATAGAAGCTATCTAGCCAGAAGTTAGTTAAAGAATGACATGCGTCACTCTGCAACGCATCAGGGTTCCCGCGCGCCCATAAAATAGTCTAACACGTGCAATAAATGCATCGCCTCATCTAAAACTAGTATAAATATCCCCTAAGCGATAGTTGTAAAGAGTTCGAATCTCATTTAAGACGAAAAGCTCAAATGTGAACATGCTCAAATATAATGGTGCAGGTGTACACGGAAATTGCGAAGGCAGGAAGCTTATCGAGTTGGGATGATATCTATAAGAAGCTGGATTCAATGTCAACGGCGGAAAGCAGCTTCAACCTGGGGCTCTACTCGACTGTGAGCATTGGGCAGGACAGTTCCCCCATTCTTGAGGCAATTATCACTATTACTTAATTATTGGCCGGCCTCGCGCGCTCATCGTTTCTGAGACTCTGACCACTTCGTTCTTCTCGCATGCATGAATAAGGCTGGAAATAAATGCATATGCATATGGATGTTAGTTTGGTGTTGTTCCTATTGGGTGTGGTGTTGAAATAAGATGCAGTACGTATGTGTCTGCAGTCTTGGCTACGTACAGTTGCGATTGTGATTGATGATCAATGGATGGTACTCCGTATATATGAATAAACTATTCACTATGATTAGTGTTGCGCTGTTGCATGTACGTACGTACTATCTAAATAAAGGAGATATATCTCTTTTATTTTCTAAAATAAGACTGTCATGTTTTTTATTACTACCTCCGTCCGAAATTGATTTGCAAATTTGACTTTTCTTGATCAAACAGTTTCATTTCATTCGCTTAATTAGGGTGTTAATTTTGAATTATAATTTAAGTTGGACTTTGCAACTTTGAAGAGATTTTAATGTAGTTTCTAAATATGTAAATTTTAATTATTAAAAATTGAATTAATTATCGATACGGAGCATTGACTTTTATTATTAGTTGACCAAAAAATGTTGACTTTGCAAAACAATTTGGGACGGAAGGAGTATTAAAATAGGACATATTTTGGCAGTATCAGACTTCAAACATGATAATATTTTCCAAACTTGGCAGTAACTACTCCTATTTTAGGAATAAAAAACATGACAGCCCTATTTTGGAATTTTCAAACTATTTTAATCCTATTTCGGAAACTTTCCCATTTTTAATATCCTTACCAACAAGCAAATCAAATCTATTTATAATCCAATGAGTATCATATCAATTACCGGGGCCGGTCCTAATAGTATGTGGGGACCGTACGTGCATCCAAAAAACTTAGGCATTTTCTTTCCAACACAAGTAGAAATAAAATATAATTAAAGATGATGATAGAGATAATAAATTATTGAAATCATTTGTTTACCAATTTTAAAGTAAAAGTTAATTGAAAATTTGGGTAAGGACTATAAATTATAAAATATAAATTGACCCAAAACCTAATAACACACTTGTGAGGTTATACCAATCAATATATATATATATATATATATATATATATATATATATATATATATATATATAAGAGGAACTTTTTAAGAGTATACAAAGCGCCACATAATCCTGCCATGTCATTATATATATTAATTATTTAGTTATTTTTATAACTTCTATTTTAATTAGCTAGATTCTATTTTAATGGCATATTAATATGGAAATAGAAATCCGTATAAATCTACCTTATACGTTTACAAATTGCATATTGCATATTGCATATCAGGATTGATATCACAATTGCATATTGCATACGTAGTATATTATATGTTTACTTTGCAAATAACTGACAAAAGTATATCACGATTGCATATTGCATATATTATATGTTTACAAATTCCTACTTTTATTTTTAATAGAATTTTTTTAATTGGATTGATTTCAATTCCAGATTAAATCAAATCAGATCAAACTTTAATAATAATAATAATAATAATAATAATAATAATAATAATAATAATAATAATAATAATAATAATAATAATAATAATAATAATAATAATAATAATAATAATAATAATAATAATAATAATAATAATAATAATAATAATAATAATAATAATAATAATAATAATAATAATAATAATAATAATAATAATAATAATAATAATAATAATAATAATAATAATAATAATAATAATAATAATAATAATAATAATAATAATAATAATAATAATAATAATAATAATAATAATAATAATAATAATAATAATAATAATAATAATAATAATAATAATAATAATAATAATAATAATAATAATAATAATAAGTCACATAAAATGCAAAACAAACATCTACCAGACCATATTAATTCTTACCAAATCAAATCCAAAAGTTTAATTCAATTAAAAATGTCCATATAATGAGAAAATTATAAGATCTCACAATTAAAATTTTAAAATGTGTATTTCATACCAAGTTGAATGAGAAATACTAGAAAAGTATTTGTTAGATGTTCATAACAATTAAATTATTTTTTCAATGTAACGAAATATATAATGAGTAAAATGTAAAAAAAAAAAACTTCATTTTTTTACATTTACGGTGTGACGAAATAATGAGTAAAATGTAACATCTTATTATTAAAAGTTAAAAGTAGGTACTCAGTATTTCACATCAAGTTGAATGAGGAATAGTAGAAGGAAAAAACTTGAGGTGCATAATTAATAAAGTAATTTGGAGGACGTGAGATTATGAATTCTTTAAAATCGGGTTCATAACAATTATATTTACTTGAGATGCTTATGTAGAAGATCAATTTAACTATTTTTCATATAATCTTTTCTTGGCTTCACAAATGGAATATATTTTACATATTTTTTTCATGATTCAGGAGATTTCATCCATTCATCCCATTCAGCCAAAATTTAATCAATTTCATTAAAATAAGTTAATTCGATTTATTTTTAGTATTATCAAACGAGCTCTATACTAGACTAAGTTTATTTTTCTTTTAAATCACATTACATATGATCCGAAACAAATCAAATTTCAAATTAGCTAAATTACATACTGCCCGTGCATCGCACGGGCTTGAAAGCTAGTTTGTTAAATACTTATGGAGTTATTTGATAGACAAGGATCGGATTCATTTTTTATCCTACCTAATTAAGTTGTTCAACACAGTAATACAAATGGACATCAATAGTTATTAGAGCCTTTAGAGGAGGGTCTAATTGATCATATTAATTAGGGTGGCAACGGATCAAATAGGATAACTTAGTTGTAAATTATATATCCTCCCATCATTCAGTAACATGACATTTAAAACAGGACGGAACCACTGTATCATTTTGTGATTATACTATTTCAAAAAAAATACAATATATATAGATATTTTTGGAGGAATTTCCATAATCATCAACAATGTATTGATTCTTTTTTTTTGAAAAAAAATATTAATAGCTACTCCCTCCGTCCCCTTAATATTGTATGTCCCGTTTTACCTTTTCGTGAAATCCTACTAAAATTGTCTCATACCATATTAGGTAAAGTTTGTGCGGCTCTAAATCATTCTTACCTTATTCTTACTATATCAATTAATATCAACCACACAAACCCATTTTTCTTAATAATCGTGACACTCTCTTACGTTCTAGTATAAGAGGGACGGAGGTAGTATTACCTAGCTCTTAATTAGAATAGTCTGAACTAGATTTATTTATTAATATGCTCTACATTTTATTATGGGAGAGTAGGAGGGTTCAGGGCCGGCCATGGGGGGAGGTAGCCTAGACATTTGTCTAGGGCCTCCAAATTTGGTAGGGCCTCCATTTTAAAAAATAATAATATTATATATACCTTAAATCTTTAATTAAATTAATTAAAATACTTAAAAATTAGTGTAGAACAAAAGATACGTTGATGCAAAAAAACAAATTATCAAGATTAACCATGTTCGGTGATATATTAGAAAATAATGACAAATGTAGATCTAAATAAGAGTGAATAAAATATTTCTTTTTATACTTTAATGATTATAATTTTAATAATCATGATTGTGTTAACTATAATGCATATGCATAGACAATAATTCAATATCCTAATTCAAGTATATTTAGAGAGATAGTTTTGATGTGTACGTATATAATATAATGAGTTATAAATGTATTATTTTTAATATTTTATTATCCAATTGTCACTTAAGAGGGTTAATTGTTTTCTAAAATAAAAAGTGAAAACATTTAGTTGAAATGTCTAAATTAGGACGTCCTTTAAATTTTTAGGCCCCAATCCTCCCCAAATTTGTAAAATAGTTATATATTTTTATATGTTAGAAGATTGTGTAAAAGATCATCAGGAAAAAACTAACCAAGCCACGTTAATATTTCTTTCTGGCTATGTCATTCCTATTTGTTTCTTATTATAGTTTTGTATTTTTTTTAGTAAAAAATATATTGAAGTTATACTCTCTTTACTCCGCTAAAATTGTCTCATCTTTCGTTTTCAGCCTATGCATTAAGAATGTCACATATCAAATTTGACAAAATTTGTGTGGTTCTAAATCATACTTACTTTATCACTTCAATATCAACCACATAAACTAGCTTTTCTTAATAATTGTAAAACTTTATCATAACCTAGCATTAGTGAGACGTGAGTACGTTGTATCTCATAAAATACGAAGTATTATTTGGTTGTCTAGGGCCTCAAAATTGCTCTAGACGGCCCTGGGAGGGTTATGAGATACTACTCTTAAAATTTGACTATTAGTATAGAATCAACGTGTCTTCATATGTAAAAGAGTAGTTTCTATGGTGATAAATTATTTGTGAGGTCTTCTTTGAAGTGGATGCAAATTGAACAAATTAAAATCAGACAATTGCACTGGTATATTGCAAACTATGCACTACTTCTGCAATAAAAAGCTCCGTGGGATGGTTTTAGTGGCAATGTATAAGAAGGTTATATGAACCTCTTTGATTATTTGGAAATAGGAATGCTCACGTATGTGAGTCAAGATGCTTAAAAATGCAATTTATCTGTCTTTTCAGAGTATGATTTGAGAACACTAAGATTACAAGTAGTGAATAGATACAGTTTTTTCATATAATATATACTACAAGCTTTTTTGACTCCTAGAGACCTAGACATCTTAATTAATTCTCTAATGATAATAAAGGATGCAAAAAACAAGTTTAGTTTAAGGAATGAAAATAAAGATGTCCACATGTACACTTTACTTTGTATTCATGCTTAATTAAAAAAGTGGAGCTCCTTCCCTATATAGAATGCAGTTTTAGATTTGTGTGTGTGACATGTGAATTACATGCATTTCAATTTCAACCCAGAGAACAATGGTATATGAAATAAAAATGCATTTCCCTCATAATTTTCATCTCCTTTTTAGATGACATTTTAGAGCACATGATGGAAAGAATAGGGACTGATTATTTCATTCTCACTTCTAAAGAAATATATCAATGAGAAAGTGTTACTTCATATATGACTTTAGTTACAAAAATACAGTGTTCCCTTTTAACTAGCATAAACTCTCCATTATTTTTCAAAAAGGGTATACCCAATGGCAGTAATCCATTTGTGTTAATGTTCCTATAGGTTAATTTCATTGGGTTTTCACTAACTCTTGCAGTTTTAAAGTCACTAGCTGAATACTTCAAGTTATTTAGGCTTTAGCTATTTACATTTCACAATTCGAGTGACTATGTTGTTGATATGGTAAGGTCTTACTATTAGTCAATTACAAAACTAATTATGTTCACCCATTTAAAATCGAACTTAATATTAGTCCTTTTCATTTGTTTCAGTTCCTACTAATGTTCTCTTAATCAAAGAAATTTACACTATCAAGAGGGAAGGGTGTATAGAAAAGTCTTGCACTAAAAGGCCTCATGTTATGAATATATATGTCCTAAATTTCAAGCGCACTAAGAAAAATGAAGTGTTGAATTTGGAAACTCACTGATATACATTTCATGTTAATGTAAAGAATCCTTCAAGTGATGTAATTGTTGTCAGATGAACTTAATTGTCTTTAATGACTACTTGAAATTATAAAGGATAGCTGAACTTAATTGTCTTTAATCATTGTTTGCCTCCTAAAATCAAATGTTTTTTTTACAGGTTTGCTCTGGGTGTCTCCCAACTTATGCAGCGCTGCTGGGAAGAGGTGTGGACTGTCTTAAGACGTGTGGCTGGTGTGCAAT